TCGGCCCAAAAAAAATTTTGTACAGACCTCGCTGTGCTCGGTCTGTACTAAAAAAAACTTGGGCCAATATTCTCCCAGTACAGCCCTCGCATTTGGTTAATAAGATATATGTATGCATGTAATACAAAAAAAGAAAAAAAAAGGAAGGGTCAACATGATTATTGTCATTATATTGAAAAAAAATATATTTTTTTTCTTCAAGCTTCATGACTACGATGACAACCAAAAGCTTGATGGCTTAGAATGGTTGAATGCACTTACAGATTTTCACACAGAAGATGATAGCACAGGTGAATTCAAAAAAAAAAAACGCATGTTTCTTGAACATGAGGCAGAAGCCATTGTAGATGAACTACTAATGAAACATGACAAAGATGATGACGGTATGATTGATTTTATTGAGCTGATGAACTCAAAAGTAAAGTCATTCATGACAGACCTGGACAAGCCCGAGGAAGGAGAACAAGAGAAAAAAAAACCTCAAGAAAAACAACAGGAACAATCATCACTAAAAAAAAAATTTAATCAACGTCAACAAAATCAACAGTCTTCGAAAAAAAATCAGGCACAGGATGAAAATAAACCACAGGACAACAAAAAAAAGGATCAACGTCAACAAAATCAACAGTCTTCGGAGAAAAAAAAGGCACAGAATGAAAATAAACCACAGGACAACCAAAAAAAAAATCAACAGCAACACCTACCTCAACAGGAAAACCAAAAAAAAAAACAAAGTGAACAGGAAAACCAACAGGAGCAACAAAAAAAAAAAAATCGAGACCAAAACCAGCAAGAATCGAATTCTAAAAAAAAACAAGGAAATGAGGAACAAGTCAATCAGCAGAATAAAAAAAACTTAGAAGATGAATATAATCAACATCAACAACAGAAAAAAAAAAAATAGCAATTCAGGCATTTCTTTTTTAGATAAAAAAAAAAACTTAAAATGAATTCAATAAATTTCAAGTCTGCAAAAAAAAAAAAAACTTTTCCTTGTTGGTACCACATACCTGTTATATTTGGTGTGACATTAAATATTTTTATTCAATAAATTACAAAAAAAAATGCCAATTTTTCCTTTGCTTTTGTTTGCCTTGCGAAAAAAAAGCGATTAGTTTTTTTTGTAATAGTTCATTAATTCAAAAAAAAAGAAAATATTCACTTACAAAAATGTATTTAAGGTAAAAAAAAAAAATACATTTCATTACATGGCCCCGGCCCCATAAAAAAAAATGAGCAATTTGAGGAGCCTGTAATCTTGTCACCCTAACCACGCCATTTAGTTCAACTCAGTTGGAATCTCAAGCCAAAAAAAAACAAAATATGCTGCAAAATAAGATTAACTCGTGAAAAAAAAAATATGACATCAAAAAGTAGACTCTTGAAAATTTCCAAAAAAAATTTGAAGCTCTATGAATCAATCTAAAGGCAGCTCAAAAAAAACTCTATTCGACATTGTTACATAATATTGGAGACCAAAAAAAAGTCCACCTCTCATTGTCAACCCCAACTATAAGAAACGATGGGCTCTGGGAACGAGAATGGCGCATAACGAACGGGGAAAAAAAAGTGTGCTGCAAGAGAGTAAAAACTTCGCAAACTTAAAAAAAACACTGCTTACACTTCTTCAAGGCGCAGAACATTTAAAAAAAAAAAACTGTGACTCAATTACTATGGTTTTGCTTCGTTTCACAGATAATGAGTAAAATTCATGTAGAGGTAAGCGGTAAAGTTTTAGCTCATTTTCGTTCAATCAGCCGTTAACAGTCTTAAGCTTAACATAATCGTCTTGATTCAAAAGCCTTTTTTTTCCAAAAAAAATTCAGCTGATACTTTTACCATTTTTGGAGAGTAGTTAACTCCCGATTTCTGCAAATCGTGAATTTTGCGGTTTGCTAAAAAAAATGTGGTGGATCCCCACTGATGATAAACATAACCAAAAAAAAATGCTCGAATTATTCCGTACTAGTCATATGGTTACAAAAAAAAGAAAAGTGTTTCTTAGTATAATAATTTTGTTTTTAAAAAAAAAGGTATCTTCCCGGTAGATCGTAAAAGTTTTGGAATTCAATTCTGTAAGTAGCTACAAAACTGATCAGGGCCTTATAAAAAAAAGGGGTAAGTTTCTTGAGCTGTGGTGATGCGTCGGAAAAAAAAACAGGTAATTTGATTTTATCAACTGAGTTGGTAAAAAAAAAAGGCCACCGTAAAGGTTTAAAAGCTGACGTTCCGAAAAAAAAACCTACGTTAGAGCGAATGGCCTTACTTTTTTTTAAAAAAAAATATGTCAAGAAATGTCGACCTCTAGTGCCTTTGTAAAAAAAACAATTCATTGGAGAGAATAATTATTGCTATCTTCAAAAAAAATTCTTTTCAGACATAACGCTAGCCAATGATGCGAAAAAAAAACTTACAATAACCCCTAAAAAACCAAGATGTTGTTGGAGAGTTGACAAAAATGACCTAGATTGTAAGGTTGGAATATAAAAAAAAACCTCTGTCAAAACCGCTTTTTGATTAATCATATAAAAAAAATTCAAATATCTGTGAATTCTCTTTCACTTATTTTAAAAAAAAAGTCTATGGAGCTTATAGGTGGCAATGAAATAAAAAAAAAAACACTGAAACGTGAAAATATGTCTTATGTCTTTCCAAAAAAAATAAGTTCTTCACTGATGAATGTTTATTTGTTTTAAAAAAAAAAAGGTTTTCTTATTATTATTCACACTGAAGGCTCAAAAAAAAATTTAATAGATAGTTGAATGGAGAGATACATCAAAAAAAAAAATTTGCTTGTGTAGCTTGGGATCAGTCTTGATCAAAAAAAAAACGAATGCAGAAAGTTATCCATTAACCCTTTTACAAAAAAAAGTGACCAAGGCAGAACTTCTCCTTACAATATCAAAAAAAAAAGAAGCAGATAAGTGATGAGAATAACGAAAAAATCAAAAAAAAGATTATAAGTTGATCCAAGATCTCCAGAGCTGAAAAAAAAAATGCTACGTCAGAGGGTATGTGGTCAACAACGCAGAAAAAAAAGTCCTAGGTCTAAAATTTAGCAAAATTAGCGGAAAATAACAAGGGCTGACTTTCAAAACCAAGGAACTCTGTTTTCAAAAAAAACATTTTCCTAATTCCAGAGTTTTTAAGGAGAAAAAAAAAAAATGAAAATTTGTAGGGGGTGTACCAAGTTTTTGAGAAAAAAAAGTAAAAGAAAAGCGGCAGGGAAAACGATGCCTCTAAGCAACAGAATAGGAAATCAACCATGCGAACGACCCGAACGAAAAAAAATCCGTGTTTCCACAGCAAAACCTAGCGCATGCGTAAAAAAAATTCAGCTCTGTCTCCAAGATCAAATTCCCAGAACAAAAAAAATGATCACAAGAATTATATGGCAGACAGTATGGAGAAAAAAAATTGAGATCTTGGGAGAGAAAAGGTCAGTTAAGACAAAAAAAAATTGTTTGGGGGGTTTTAGGGTTTATTTCACAAAAAAAAAAACGGCAGCCCTCTAAGGAGCTGAATTGCATATTTAAAAAAAAAGTAACAATATCTAATAGTATGACTAATGTAAGAAAAAAAAAACTAAAAGTGAAATTGAACACTGTAAAATGATGAAAAAAAAAATTAAAATTAATAAAGCTATATTTATATGATATCAAAAAAAAAACAAGATTTTATTGAATATGTGTCCCTGAACCTAAAAAAAAACCACCTTGGTGTTTCAAAACGTCTTCATCGTCTTAGATGGTAAGACGACTTATGGGCTGAGGGTAAAAGATTTCTTAAAAAAAAACTCTTATCATTTAAAATAGAATTAAAGGTCTTCAAAAAAAAATTTTCGTTGTAACGTTCAATGCTTGGTAGTTTAAAAAAAAATAAAGCATCGCTGTAGTCTATCCCCGGGAAAATAAAAAAAAACACCCTTTTCTGGACATGCTCGGATTTGACTTGCAAAAAAAATTTGACACGCTTGGATTTGACTTGCATTTTGCTGAAAAAAAATAACTGGCTTGGAATCAAATTCCCAATTAGAAAAAAAAAAAACGTTTTAGCCTTACTGTTTTGAATGCCTTAACAAAAAAAAAATGCAAGAGTCACTGTGGACAGGAAGATAACAGTAAAAAAAAATGAAATATCTAAAGTAACTGCCCTCTACAATGTGAAAAAAAATCTTTGCTTTGCCTCACAACAGTACCCACTGGACAAAAAAAAAAACTGTGACTTTACCTTTGTGGCTGGGGGGAAAAAAAAAAAACACAGAGTCAGTTTTGATACCACAGAACCAAAGAAAAAAAAGTGGTTAGATGGTAAATCTCTATCTGGTTTAGATAAAAAAAAACTTTTAATTATTCATTATTTGTGAGAATCATTGAAAAAAAAATGATTTCCATGGATCTATTTTTGATTTTTCTGAAAAAAAAATTGATAAAAAACTTATGTTGACATTATCCTAATGAAAAAAAATCTAACTTCTATATAATTCTGTGGTCAGTTCAACAAAAAAAAATAATTATATTTACCAACAATTTTGGAAATCAGTGTCACTTTGTAGCCATCCTTAACACCATTCCACATTATTTTGAAAAAAAACATTAGTTGGTTAATAAATGATATGAGTTACAGGAAAAAAAAATACAAAAATATACAAATATACAAAATACAAATAAAAAAAAAATGACAGGTCCCAAAAGGTCGCTGAGCAATCACAGTTATTGAACTGATAGAGAACATTCAAATTATTGGAAAATCAAAAAAAAAGGCAGCAACACTCTGTGTAGCGTTTTTAGACTCTAAAAAAAACCTTGTAATACAGGCGAAAAAAAACAAGTGTCAGAAAAAAAAAAGAGGGTGCTCTCTTTCTTTCTTCATAGTCATCAAAAAAAAAGATGACAGTTACAGAAAATGCAGAGGAGTTGATAGGGTTAGTGTAAACAGGATTCCAGATGTTGTTTGTCAGCCAAAAAAAAAAAAAAGTAGTCTCCATTTGGTGCGAAAATATGCAAAAAAAAATGTCCACTGACATAATCTGTACCGAGATGTCAACAAAAAAAAGAGAGCAAACCACGACGAAAACTGTGCATTCGGGAAAAAAAAAATGTCCAAGGACAAATATACAAGCATTTTTTGGAAAAAAAAGGAGGTTATGTGTTTATTACTCTTCAAATATTTTAAAAAAAAGCAGGGAAATAGTTAACAAACAATTTGTTCTAATAAAAAAAATGGAATGTTTACTTTTCAGTTCTCTGGTACGACTAAAAAAAAAAACAAATTTGTTCCCTCTTCTGTGTTGAGTAATAAAAAAAAGTCTGAAAATTGGAGAATATCACTTGTGGTATAAAAAAAAAATATTCCACGAGTGCACGTTGGATAGGAGATGATAAAAAAAAAACGAGGCGCGTACCGCCGAGTTGGCTATAATCATAAAAAAAACAAAAAGAGCGAGTGGAATAATTGTTTTATTAAAAAAAAAAAATTAAATTATTAAATTTTATTAAATTTTATTAAAAAAAAAAATCCCTTTTAATTTGAAGCTGATGCGTACGCTTACAAAAAAAATTGATTTTGGTATATTGGCTCATATACCATAATGAAAAAAAAAATAAAAAGTCTTGAATTGCATTATCCAATGATCAAAAAAAAAATAATAACAATTATTCCACGAGCGCGCGTTGGAAAAAAAAAGATAGATAGCCAACGAGGCACGTAGCGCCGAGTTAAAAAAAATCATCTCATATCCAACAAGCGCGAGTGGAATAATAAAAAAAATAAAAACGTTAAATTAAATTATTAAATTTTATTAAAAAAAAAGCTCCCTTTTAATTTTAAGCTGACGCGTACGCTTAAAAAAAATGTTGATTTTGGTATATTGGCTCATATACTATAAAAAAAAAACCATTATCCAGTGATCCAGTTTTTAATAATTAACAATTATTCCACGAGCGCGCGTTGGATATGAGATGATAGATAGAAAAAAAAGCACGTAGCGCCGAGTTGGCTATAATCATCTCATAAAAAAAAAGCGCGAGTGGAATAATTGTTTTATTAAAAAAAAAAAAAAAAAAGATATTTAGACAAATCTTCTCGACTTTATTTTAAAAAAAAAAACCGGATTTAACAATGTACAGAAATTAGATTAAAAAAAAATGGCTCATATACCGTAATGGTTGAGCCAATAAAAAAAAAAAAATTGCATTATCCAATGATCCAGTTTTTAATAACCAAAAAAAATCAACAGAAATTAGATTATGGTATATTGGCTCCTAAAAAAAAATGGCTGAGCCAATAAAAAGTCTTGAATTGCATTAAAAAAAAATCTAGTTTTTAATAACCTCGGATATTCAACTCCAAAAAAAAATGCGTTTAGACTGATCGCGCACAAGCAGAAATAAAAAAAAAGCTCTGAATAGTTTTGGTGCTGAGTCCATTGAAAAAAAAAAACGAAAAATGTACCAATGGTTGTGCTTATCTTTCTAAAAAAAATAATTTAAATCCAACGAAAAAGATGAAAATATCTAAAAAAAACAATAAATGCAGTATGTTTTCGACAAATGTGATTAAAAAAAATGGTACATCTCGATGATATACACTCATTTTAGGAAAAAAAAATGGTTTTGTTTCTTGATCACGGGCGTTCAAGCTCAAAAAAAATTTCTACGACCATCCTTGTCGATGTTTCCTGTGACGTTCGAAAGGCAGAAAGTGAAGGTTCATGCAAGTCTAGTCAATTTCTGTTCGTGTAAACGTGGTACTCTGATACTGTTAAGTCCAACGAAATCAACGAGACAGTTCTAATAACCGAATTTTTTACAAAAAAAATTTTTTTTTTTTTATAAGCACGCAATGGAAAAAGAAAAAAAATTAACCGGAATCCAGGTGCTTCAAAGAATAACTTTTGAAATGATGACTTTTGTTACCAGGATCCCAGGAAGAATTGAAAAAAAATGGACTGCGTCGAGAAGTACAATGGATGGAGGAAAAAAAAAAAAAACTCGACAGGAAAGTGTGAAGTTATTCATGAAAAAAAAACAAAGGGCAAGGAAGGAGAGCTACCAGAAATTGTAAAAAAAAGAAGTATGTAGCTTTGAAGAGGAAAAGTGAGACAAAAAAAAAGCCCGAGACCACTCGCTAAGGGTTGTCCAACGCAAAAAAAAAAAGATTTTTTACGTGCGACTTTAAAGAAAGCGAGAAAAAAAATGCCTGACAGTGTTTGTGTGTCAACAGGCATTTGACAAAGACTATAACGACTGCAAAAGTCTGATAAGTCCTACGCTGACCAAAAAGCAGAAAAAAAAGATCTATGACAACTTGGAGAAAAGCAAACTGGCGAAATTGAAGTTCACTCTAGAGGACATCAAAGAAATTAACCCGGTGAGCTGAACAACATTTTAACTTGCTCTAGAATGTCCAGTACATTTGAATCCCTTTATCTCTCAAAGTGATTACAACGGTTAATAAAGAAACGGTCAACTTAACAATAAGAACTCAAACATGTTAAAAGTTTCAAGCGCAGAAAAAACCCAGGAAAAAAAATCCTGATTGGTTTGTTTTGCGCATTGTCTCCAAAAAAAAAAACGCGATGACGCGAATGATCGACTCGTGATTGGTTAAGGGGATGGCATTGAATCGCAGTTGAAAATTGCTCTCTCAAAAAAAAAATGACTAGAAAAAGGCAGTCATCGACCATAGAGCGAAAAAAAATCTTAATAAACTAGCTTTGAAGCTGACAGCAAGGAAAAAAAATGGTGTCATAGCTATACTTTCAACTGCTTTGCTGAAAAAAAAGACCTGAAGTCGGCCTTCTGCCCAAGTGTTTCCGAAAAAAAATACTGCAGAGTATCCTCTTTCCGATTCAAAATGAAAAAAAAAGTTGGATTGACAGGTGCCACTTAACTGCCATCACAAAAAAAACGTCGGTTCAGTTTGTGTTTGTAACGAGGGCTGGAAAAAAAAAACTAACAATGTGCCAAAGAAAGACTTGCGGTATAAAAAAAACTGGTGTAATGTAAAGACCAAGAAATCAAAGAGGAAAAAAAAAAGAGCCCTCATGCAAGCTGTATCCTTCACCTTAAAAAAAAACATTTTAACGGAATTTCTTTCGACACGTATTTGTAAAAAAAATCTATATGAAAAGGTTCTATTAACGCAACATCAGAAAAAAAAAGCGAAGGCCAGATTTACTTTCACCTGATCTTTGAAAAAAAAAGTTATAACTTGTCAAGTTGAGGACCTGATTGTTTCAGAGAATTCATTGGAGTCAAAAATCAAATTGACCCCAAGTAAAAAAAACTGCCTGCCTGCCTCCGAGACGAAAGGAAGTCAGAAAAAAAACTCCCCTTTCTTGAGTAGAAATGATTTCTTAACTGACCAATCAGGGTTTGGGCCTGGTGGGTTTCACCCTACTGATAAAAAAAATGTTAATAATATGGAGTTGTTTTATTGTCGGTACAAAAAAAAAAAGACGCGTGATCCAAACATTCAAAACACTTTGAAAAAAAAGCAGTAAACGCATACCCCCTTTACAAGATAAGAGAAAAAAAACCCCATAACCAATTTTCAATCGAGTGTCGAAAGTAAAAAAAATTTGCATTGACTCTGCTTTGCTACTTTGAAAGATAAAAAAAAAAAATTTGTGCCCATCTCTTAACTGCCCTTTCCCAAAAAAAACGCAGTTTCCTGATTTCTTATGCGAATTTTCATTAAAAAAAATCGATAACCTTCTTTCTTCTGATCACCTGAAGATAAAAAAAACGACAGTGACTGGAAATCAAATTTAGTCAGAGGGAAAAAAAACAAGGGACTCAGTCCCATAGTTTTACCCTTTGTTAAAAAAAATGTCTCTAAATTCAAATTCCTGCCTACTGAGCGAACAAACTTACAAGTTATAGGTCTTTTCTTGCTCCACAGGGACAAAAAAAAAAAGTTTATGGCGCCGGAATTCTCATGGCTACGTAAAAAAAACTTATGAACCAACCAGTGACAACGAGCTTTGTTTAAAAAAAAGAAAGGTCGTGCAAGATATTGTTAAAGTTGACGAAAAAAAAAGGTGGTATGAGGTAAAAAGTTGGGATAAACTGTCAAAAAAAAAAGTACAATTTGCATTTATCTCCGCCCAAGACGTAAAAAAAATCCAACCTTAAAATTCCAAATTGCAAGAAATTTTAAAAAAAATGGTCAGCATCAGCCAATGTCAGAAATCGGGTAAAAAAAAAACTGTTGGTCCGAGCAAGTTAGCAGCTAAAATTCCAAAAAAAAAGTTATGTTTTGACACTTGCATGCTTATTGAACCAAAAAAAATTCTGCTCTCGTCTTACTTTGTCAGCCATCCGCTAAAAAAAAAAGAAAGCAAGTAAGTGATCGAGAATTGCTGGGATTTGCCCGACAATTTTTCGATCGCTAACCTATTCCTTTCCAGAAAAAAAAAGATCAGAAAAGACTAATTGTAAACGCACGTTCGAAAAAAAAAGGCGTGGAATTCGAATTTGAATGGCAAATACCAAAAAAAAAGAGGAACGAGGAACGTCATCTAAAATTTCGCGTAAAAAAAAAACAACACCATCACTAATTCTTTAGCACAACTTTTAAAAAAAATTTCGTAGGGAACGTGTGACGGAGTGCGGGGACAAAAAAAAAAAGACTATGTCATTATCAAGACGAGTGAATCCAAGAATAACTCGAATTCGGCGCAAGATTGATAGCATTTGCATTAAAAAAAAATGAGTAACTTTATGAGATTTTAAATAAGTCTGATAAAAAAAAAGTCTTTCACCGTTGAGAGGGCGGCGCAAGTTTTAAAAAAAATCGTAAAGTAAAACCAAGGCAATCTCGTCTTATTAAAAAAAACTGAATTGAAGGTCTTGTGAGTGTTGGTTCTAACAAAAAAAATGCAGTATTACTACGTACATGTAAGAATCGAAACAAAAAAAATTTTAATCTCGCATTCGACTAAAACTGTTACATTAAAAAAAAGTTTTTTGTACGTTACTTGACATGTTAGGAGAATAAAAAAAAAATAAAAGTGTTATATGACTATGCACACAATACAAAAAAAAAAATGACATTGCTTCGTTACGTTAAAATATCTAGAAAAAAAAAAAAGATAGAAGACTAAACGAGGACCGTAACATCTAAAAAAAAATCCTTGACGGCTCAGATCTTCAAATGTCCGTTTGTTCACAACATTTCCAAGAGAATCTTCGTACTCTTCCTACGAAAAAAAAAAAAGTAAAATGATAAAAAGCTTGCAATCTCTCGGTTGTCACCAGTCTCCTTCGCTGTCGGTCTTTGAGATATCACGAAAAAAAAGTGCTCGGCATGACATCCCAAAGAAAAGATGGAAAAAAAAAATTATCACTCGATCAGCTTCAAGAGATCACAAGTTCCTCCATCGATTCTCCACTCCGCCCTAAGACCACACACCCACAAAAAAAAGATATCTTCGAGTGGGAGCCAGGAAGACTAGGTCAAAAAAAATGAGAGGAGACTTTCGGAAAACTTCCCAGGAGAAAAAAAAAAAAATGACAAACCCCGTCGTGTCTTTTCTGACCAAAAAAAAAATTTTCTTTTTTAAAAATAACTTCTCTAGTTCAACAAAAAAAAAGAAAACACG